TGCCACGCGCCCACCGCCTACTCGGTCGGGCCGGCCGACTCTGCGGCCTCGTCGCCCGCGCCAGCGCCTGCGCTTGCGCCCGCCGCCGTGGGCCAACCACGGCCACGGCCGCGGCCGCAGACGCAGACGCAGCTGGCGTGCGTGGCCGCGCCGCCTCGCCTCGCCCACGCGGTCGCCTCGGCCGGTCGGCCCGGCGACGCGCAGCCCCAACGCCAGCCGCTCGTCTGCCCGCTCCGCGGGCACAAACTGCCTTTGTCCGCGCAGCCGCCGAGCGCGTGTCGCGCGTCGCCGGCGCCGGCGCCTGCGCGTTTTTTTGGCGGCTTGAGCCACGAGGCCGTGATATTGCAGCACTTTTTCGAGGCGCAGCGCCTGCTTCAGCAGTCGCGCCAGTTCGATCAGCTGCGCCAGGCCAGACTGGCCAATCAGGGCGCCGGGGAGCCCGGCCACGCGGGCCGCCGATCGATGGCGAGCCCGACCACGAGCCAATCAGACGGCTCCGTCGCCGGCCGACGTCATTCTCTGCCGCTGCCGCCGCCGCCGCCGCCGCCGTTGCACTCGTTCGCCGGCTGTCCCGCCGTCTGTCGACACACCGGACAGCCCGACTGCCCTCCGCACGCTCTGCTGCAGCACTCGCTGCTCAGCTGCGTCTACGCCTCGATGAAACAGGACGCCGCACTCATGCCACCCCCGCCCCTCTCCGGCCCCCACCCCAAGTGCCACGCTCCGCCTGCTTCGCCGGGTCCACTCGCCTCCGGCGACCGCGGCCTCCAAAAGCCGCACAAGCGGCACAGCTCACTCTCCAGCCTGGCGCCTCTGTCTCTGTCTGTGTCCCTGTCTGTGCCTGTGTCTGTGCCTGTACAGGTGCCCGTGGCGACGACGGCGGCGAGCGCTGCTGCCGGCGGGTGCGGACCGTCGCTGCGCGACGTGATGAAGCAGACCGGCCCTCTGGTCTCGAGCCAAATCGAGGGCGAACCGATCATGGGCTTCAGCGTGTGGGGCGAGAAGCGGCTGTGTCTGCCGCATCTGCTGCGCTTCGTGCTCTACGACGTCGACATCGAGACGATCGGCCAGGCGTGCACGAAACTGCAAATCGCCTGCACCAAATGCAGCCCCGCCCAGCTCCACGTGTTGCACGCGCGCGGCGCTCTGCCCCGCGAGGTGCACAGCTGCGGCCTCATTCGCAAAAGCGACGCTGAACGACTCACCAAATTTCTCCGCTACTCGCAACCCTCGGACACACACCAACACCAACACCAACACCAACACCAACACCAACACCAACCGGAACAGGAACAAGACGACGTCGACCAGCGTCGGCGTCGGCCGGCCTCGGGGCCGGGCGAGTGCGTCTCCGAAGCGCCACTCCGGCCGGTCTTGTCGGGCGCCCCCAGTCCCGTCAGCCCTGCGCAACAGACATGCGTCGCCCGGCAACCAGACGCTTTCATCGACGTGGTGCATGATTGCTTCGGTCGACAACGTGGCCGTATCTTCCCCGGCCTCTACACTGCGGCCCAGTCGGCCTGTATCTCGTGCGCCACTTGTCGTCGTCTCTACTCGCCCCAACAGTTTGTCGGACACACACACAGTCTGGCAGAAGTGGATAAATTCAATCACTGGGGCTTCGATTCGGCCAACTGGCGTTGCTACCTCCGCCTGTACGTGCCCCGGACGACGATGCACTTGATCCGGCACTCGCACGACTCGCCGGTCAACCACAACTCCTCCGTCGCCTCCTCCCCCTCCTCCTCCTCCTCCTCCGCCACGTCCGCCTCGCCACCCTCTTCACCGTCTTCACCTTCTTCTACGCCCTGCGCCTCTGCAAAGTGCGCCCTGACGACGACGACGTCGTCTCGGACTGCCGGCCCGACGACCATCGAGCAACACACCAACCAGCAGCCGGACACAGATTCGCCTCGGCTGGTGGCAGAGAAGACGGCCAAAGCAGAAGCACGACGTAATCCACTGCAACAACGTCTCATTCGAGCGCACATCATGCTCGAGGAGTTCAAGGTGAAATTCGCAGAGGTACGTGCATCCTCGCTTTTCCCTTTGCTCTTCCTCAAACTAGTTAGACTTCACCTTTCGGCCAGATCACGTTGTCCTGACAACTGGGTCTTGTGCACGTTTTGTCGCCTCGGCAGCGGTCGTAGTTTTGTGTAAATGAGTGGGTTTTTTCAGACGAAAAAAGCGATGGCAAAAATACATTTGCTGCATAGACAATCCCACTGAAAGAATGTGATATGGCAAAAGACCTGGCCTTTGTTGAAATTCACATCTGCCCTGTGGGCCAAGGCAATTGGTGTCAAACTCCCATTCTGCACTGTCACGGTTCGACTGCCGCGGGGGCTGTTGCTAAGACCGAGGCGAGGTCGAAACTGCAGTCCACACCAGCCGGGATGAGAACACCTTTTGG